TGCTGAATTCCTGCTGATCCTCCTTACAGCTGAAAGCACAGCACAACCGTAGATTATTATGGGATGTTTGGAGGCTTTTGAATAGAGGAATATTGAATATGGATGTTTTACTAAATGAGAGAGTGAGCGTCAGAGGCAGTGGGATAAAAAGATACTCAGCAGACGACATGTCTAAAAACTGAGAACAACTGCGTTGTGTTGTGTTCACAGATTTTATTTGAGAATATCACTGCAAAAACACAAAATCATACCAACTAATTCTGGGCTAGTCTCGGTACACTTGAGACGAGAAAAACTAACATGGAAGTAACTTTTCAGCAAAATATAAGACCTTAAGAACAATTTCTTAATATTGATGAAAAAGAATTTGTTCATTTGGCAGATAATTTCACTTATAACACCAAAATTTTATTGCACAAATATGCAATATCAATTACTCTTTATGTCCAGCCACAAATTTTTTTATGGGATTGCATTCAGTGATAAAAGGTTCAGTTAATTTGCTGTCTTTCAGTTGACTTCTCATGCCGAACCCAATGAAAATCTTGCAGTGAATCCATTACTTGGACACAGTTTTCTGATAGTCATTGTTGTCCAACACATGTTAACGTTTCTGTAAGCATCTTTACTGATGCATTTTTACCCTGAAAAATAGAAATAAAGCACTAAAATTAAACATAAAAATTCCAAAGTAGTGACAAGCAAAGACAGATGACTCTAGCAAACATTTTCCTTGTTTCTTTTTCTGCTATTCCCTAGTTGAGTAATGATATCAAGTATCCCAGTGTGAGTTTGAAATACACAGTACATAAATCCAAGCTTTGTATTTTAGTACCTTCTTGAAGAATGTTTATTTATCTACCACCGAGCCCCATGGACCCTATAGCCTCTCACAGCTCCTATACCTGAAGCAGAAATCTGTTATTCTTAAAGAAGCTCTAAAACGCCGCCCTACAACTCTGGATTCAAGTTGGTAAACATAATTAAGTATTTAGAGACCGAGGAGCCAGGTTTTATTACTGGTTGATAGAAGCTAGTTTTCAGGTGCCTGGAGATGCCATTTCAAGTTATGCTGTTGCTTTTTATGAGCTAACTGTGTACGAAACTGTTGTTTAGCGGTTTGCCATGTTATTGTAAAGCAAAGAAAATGCTTTCCTGTTGCATAAAACTGCACGGCAATAGAAAAACACACCATCATATACAATCAAATGCATATCCATGCAAATTTGTACATGCGTTTCTCATAGTGTTTGGAGAACCTTCAGAATACCAGCTGGTATTAATAATTCAATTGAGACATCACGTAGCGATTCACATGAGAGAAGCAATGAAGCCAAATCTGCTGTTCTTGGTTTCGACTTCTGCGAGACCTGCAGACACTTTCAGGTGTCTCTCACTTGTCACAAACAGCTGTGGGACAAGTTCAAATTAGGACAATGACCTGAAAGCTAAAAGTATTCATGTCAGAATGAGTCGATTTCTCACCATGCCTGCCCTGAATGTGTCAGGTTCCAGTTAGCTTACCCTGAAAATCATAGCCTGGTTGGAGTTAAAAATGTAAGGAAAAAGTTTAAAAAAAAAAAAAAAATGGAAATAAAATTCATAGAAGGGGCAAATCTAGAATAAATATGATTTTAAAATATAGACTTTATGTGGTTTAAAACCTAAACAAAATATGAGGCTCCAATTCACAACTATGAACATATTGATTCATGTCTAAATAAGCTCTTCATAGAGCTTCCATGTTTAAATTATGTGAATTATTCATTAAGTGTGTATGTGGAAGGTCAGTTTTCTGACTATTTATACCCACTTTTGAAGAATTTCCCAGAATTTCATCATTCCTCGTGTTATTTCTGTGTTTTGAGTTTCTCTACATACACTCAAGGACACCTGTACTGCTGACATGCTGCCATTAATTATTCATTCACTGGTTAATTTATTCATTGATGACCTTATCGTGGTTGTTTGGAAGAAGATGGTGGATTAGCCAGTCTCAGGGGACACATCTGTCCCACCAATGTTTTCCCTCCCCAATCAGATTTTAAGTCATGCAAACAAGGCAGATAAGGAGAACAAAGTGAAAGAAATAATACTGGATTGTCTTGCTGATATAACAATTTGACTTAAATTGTGTTTAAATCAAATTAACCAGGAACAATAGACTGTTGCTGGCTTCTACAGTTTGCTCACAGATGTATAGTTTTGAATGTGTTTGTTCATATAGTGGTAAACTCATAATGGTGATAAATTAGATAATTGAAGAAACGACTTACACCAAATGGATGATCTGGAACTAGAGAACTAAGGTAAAAATAAAGCAGCTGAGCAAAGGGAAACTGACAAGCTTTTAACAATCCAAAGGGTTGATGAGCAGCATAAGAAGCAGGTGAGACCAATCAGGAGAATGTGTAGGAGCTGGGGGCAAAAACAAAGCAAGGAAGCTGTGGGAGGGTGACTAATAGGCACATATATTAACAGAGGATTTTAATATATGATATAAAAGTAAAAGAGGAACAATAAAAGAAGAATCTAAACCAACACACAAAGAACAGACAACAAATAATAATCTCAGCACAAAATAAATAAGTGACATTAATAAACAATCAGTTGAATCCAAAAACTAAAGTCCAGAATAAATACATAGAAATCAGACAATCCTGATAGATTATAATGGCTAAAATTTCCAGTTTAGTTCCAGAGAAATAATAATTATTGTAGCAATACCAAATTTCTGTTAAGGCCCTTGAGAAACATAATTGTAAGAAAATGGACAAAACACACAAATAGATACATTCAGTCAGAAAGGAAATAAATCTGGGAATACAAATGTTTTTTCCATATTCACCCGATGGAGAAAAAATTTTAAACTAATTAAAGCTTTTCTTAAATTCAATTTAAAAACATGAATGAAAAGCGGTCATCCTTAAATGCTTAATTCTGTACGAACATGAATGTTGGAAACTATTACTGCTGCTAGTACTACTAAATTAAACTTATCTCGAGAATAAGCTAATGAATAACAATTCATTAGCTTTTACAAACATCTATGTATCTGTTTGGAAAATTATTTAACATATTATATTTAATATTTAACTCACATTTCTGTCGTTTGGAATTTAAGGTTGAAGCTGAACTTACATTTCTGTTTTTTTCCAGCAGAGGGCCCTTTAAATCCTTTAGCAAAATATAGGCTGCATTATTCTGCATCACGTGTGCAAGAATAGTTTTTGTTTTATATACACACACACACAAAAAAAATCCATTTTAGTTCATCAACAAACACCGGGAGGCATAATTTCAAACTGCATTATCCTTCTGTGTGGCTCCCGTTTTTCTTAAGACAACATCTGCTTAGTTCTGTGTGCATTTTGTAAAAGAAAAAAAAAACACAAATGCAGATATGAAATTGATTCATGGAGAAAATTACTGTTTCACCTGGTGAGAGTCTTTCTTGTTTCACCGAGTAATTTGCAAAATGATGTTCTCCATTTGTCAGAGCCTGTGGAGCAGCAGAGCTAAAACACACCCACCGTGCAGAGCATCATTGACATTCAGGAGCTGTAACCATGTGCCCCACTTTCAAGATAAACCACTGACATGTTAAATGAGGTAGAAGTTAAAGTAATGTCTCTCTGTTGTCACACAGTAAAAAGACATGCTGACTCACACGCAGGGAGATTTTAGAGAGTGGTATCTGTATCCAAACCCCTTCCTTGTCCTTTATGAGAGTCTGGACCCATCTATCTAACTCAGCTAAGCAGGTAAATGTGATTGAATATTGATCCGAGCATCGGAGAGTTAGCTTCCATCCTCTGCTTTAAAGGACACAAGAAGGGAAGCGATGAAAAGTCCTTGAGGAGAGCCCTCTGTGATTCTGAGGACTTTTCACTTACTGGCTTATCTAAAAATATTTCCTGTGGCACACTTTCCACGCTCGTTTAAACTCCAGAGGGAGAAGAGCACCACTTCATGGACACAGCAACATATGACAAGGGGAATATTACATATGCAAAAGTAATATTTCTTTAATTTAAAAAAATATACTTTTTCACTTTGAAGTCACAATCTTTTATTATTTTGATGGACCTTTAGGTGATAGACCAGCACAAAATAATGCATGGTTTCAAAGTGCAATGAAAACTGTATGTTACCTTACTTATTTGTTTTTCGTTTCCTACTAAAATCTGAGAAGTGTGGCGTACAACCCCACTAGGTCAGTATTTGGTAGAACCACCATTTAAGGCATGAATCTACCCACGTTGACCAGAGCATGCCACTGCCAGCACCGTGTGATTAGCAGCTTCATGCCATTGTGATGTTATATTTTAGCAAAGTTTTAGAACTAAATTTGGGTATGAACTTTGACTATGCCATTCATGAATATGCCTTAATCTAAGGCAGTACATTGGAAGTCTGGGTGTATGGTTAGGGTTGTTTTCCTGCTGTTTTGTTTTGGTTTTCATCCAAGCTTGTCCAGCATTTACTTACATCCATCTTTACATCAATTCTAATCACCTTCTCTCTTCATCCCCATAGCATGATGCTGCCACAACTGTGTTTCACCATGGAGATGGTGTTGCTATATTGACGTGTAGCACTGCCCATCAATTCATCAGTTGAGGTGGACTTCAATTTCCTGGTAGGTTTACATTTATTCCACACCATTCCCATATTTGGAAGCTGTGATCTAAGAGATGTTGAAAGCTTGGTATATGTTTTTTCTGTTTTAAACAAGTCCTTCTTAAATATAAATGCATGTCATTTTTTTATATATACTATATTTCCTTACTTGTAAAATAAATAAATAAATAAAATGGCTAGTTTGTTTTGGTCTTTCACATAAAATCCAACTAAAATTCAATAAAATGTGCGTTGAAGCTTGTCAAAACATGAAAAAGTTTAAGGGGTATGAAAATCTTTGCAAAACACAGGATTCTTTATAATACATGTCCATATGTTTTTTCATGGAAGAATTTTACAAAAAAACAGAGAACGAATGCACTTTTAAATTTTTATTCTCCTCTTTAGAAACAACAGCTTTGTTTTCAGTCACTGTCAAAAATAACAAGCATAAATCCTCCAGCCCTAAGCTAAGTTTGGAACCTCTCCACAAACAGCGGAGGTCTCACGTCAGAGTCTCTCAATCCTTTCTTACGCACTCATGCACACGCGCCACTGTCACCCAGCAAAAGGCATCCACGCGAGGATTATGGCGGCACTGTGGAGATAATATTATATCATAGCAACACCATGGCAATGCTGCCTACAGCGGAAACAAACATTAAAGCCAGGGCAGTACCACGGTGGAGCGAGTTTTCATCTACTGCTTCCCTACGGATGGTGTGTGGAAATTTCACATTTCAGCTTATCAATATGATAGGAAGACCCTGAAGAGCTGTGATGGCACAGAGAGCGCTGCAGAGAGTTTACAGTACGGGCTGTAAGTGAGTTTGAAATGCTGATACACGGGCACAACCATGCACACACGCTAAGTTTCAAACATGCTTCCCAGAAGCAGTGAAATGGTCTCATGTCTTAGACATTGTATAACACAAACGAGAAAAAAAACAACAACTAGAATACCATATACAGAGATAAAAGAACACCTTTGAATACTGAAAGTGGGGACTGAAAAGGGACATCATCTGTGAAATCGTACATAAAATATTAAAAACACATTTATGGACCCAGTGATTGCGTCCCCTTCGATGTGGTTCAGGACTCTTTGTGTGGACCTTCTACATGAAACAAGTGGACTTTTCACAACACGGTGCTGACATGTGTCCATATTTTGTTTTGTTTTTTTTAAAGGAGTTCTGATAGTTTTGTGTAATTACTTTTATACTTTTATAAGTGCAAATGAAGCAATGATTTGGCATATCGTCAAGCTAAAGCTGGAGATACAGCATATTCCCATGTTACTTGTAAAGAGTTCACTGGTGTAAAGTCAAGTTACAGGTGAGCGAGACCTGTTTTTACAGCTTAATTTAAAAACAAATCTAAGATTGGTAGAATAAGCAGGCCTTGTGACGTTTTCGCAAATCTTGAGAAATGTAATAGTAATAAATAATAATAGTATTTTAATAATATATGAGCTTCAATTAACAGTTGGTTTGAGAATAAATTTACATAATATGTAAATCGTAGATAAGTACAACAGGGATTAGAGTGTTATCTCCTCATCTCTCATTGTTTTGTTTGTTCAAGATGTTAAAAATAAATGCTAAGTATTTGGTAGAACAAACCAAAGCAATAAATAGGGAATTCGCTTTCTATATACAAGACATCATCCTTTTAATAAAGCACTTAGCTTACAAGTACTCGCAAAGTAAATTGCTATTCTGATGATTGAATGTCTAGTAACACATTCAGAACTGGAAAGAATCTTGAAATTGTGACTGAAAAGCAATATCATAATTTATATTATAAATTAAAGTACTATGTCGAAAAATACCTGCAAATGAGAATAAAAACACTTCCCTTCTATGTGCCCACTCAGCATAATGTACAGTCCAAGTCAGAAGTTTACATCGACTCATCATGGATATGAACATCATTTTAATTTGGGGGTTTTAATGACTTATTTATATATAGGACAGCTTAGAAATGAGTCACCCATTTTTTATATATATAATTATCTGCCATTATTCTGACTGGAGAGTTGATTACTCCTTTGACATAACTGGCAAAGCTCGTTTAAAGTGATCTGCTTTGTGGCATGGCTTCTGTTTTTTATAGTTTACAAGCAAAATTGGTTTGAATGTTGACAAAAAAAAACAACAACATAGTAGCGGTTTTTGTTTTATAATCAGTTTACTCTGAAAACCCATATTGGATGGGTCTTATAAACCTTTAAAAGCCCCAAATTACTGATTTCATATCTGACCAGAACTGTAACTTAGCACCAAGAAAAGATTGCCTGGGTGATTAAACTGGTTTTCAGGTTGAAGAATTATGTTTGAAGCTCAGTTCTTCGCCTCAGGACTCTGATCGCCTGGGAGGAACGAGGAGCGGATCCTCTGGGCTTCATTAACACACAAATGACCAAACGCTTTGTTGTACCATTCTGGAGATCTTCCCCTGCAACGATGACGACAAATTAACATGTCATAAATTTAAAATCTAGCTAAAGACTTGACTGTAAATGGATGATGAAGCCCTTCCACACCTGAGATCGACTCTGGAGATGTGTGTGAGCCTGGTCTTCCCCGTCCCACAGGGCTCGAGGAGGTACTGTGACTCCAACACAACCCCCCTCACAGCTCCAACACGCGGGCTGTCGTCATGCTCGACGGACACGCACACCAGCGCACAGGACTCTTTACAGAGGTCTGTACGCCACGATCTGAATGGTGTAAAAACATTGTGAGGTTAGAGCTTCATTGTAGAAACTGGGAACAAATTATATCTAACTAATGAGATACTCTTAACTACCACTTCTTTGTAGTTTAATGTTTTTAAAGAGATAGTATTGTGTACTTTCCAGGAACATAGTGCCAGTTTACAACACAATCAAGTTACTATGTTACCTTCAGTTGTTATAAAAATGCTGTATATATCAAACTTGACTTAGAAGAAATTTTGACTTCATAATTTGATGCCATGCTATTGGTTTCTATCTGACATGACATGAAGCTAAAAATGATCAATTTTACGTAATGCCCCTTTGAAAACATAATCATGACACTCATTTCTTATTCATGTAAAAATAGGCAGAATTATCTCTGAACATTTAACTCTATCTGACCTTAGTGGATTAATAAAAGTGCAGTCTCTCTATTTTATATAATTACTGTTAACTGATTAAATACATGCTTGTTTTGATACTAAGACCCATTGCATGTGACAATTTTTGAGAAAATATGATTCACTCAGTCAGATTCACACACACACACGCGTGTTTCCGCACATGCGTCACATTGTGCATTAATCATACCTTAGTACCACATAGTCATAGCAGGGCAGAGGCGCCATATTGCAGCAGGTGTAATGATACACGTCTGTTTGTTTGTCCAGCGTTTCCAGAACCTTCTCCTGCTGGAGGTCTGTCTGCCACAGCGGGCGCTCCTTCAGGAGCCGCTGCAGGACCTCAGAGGGAGACGCCGACACCTCGAGACAAACCCGCCACCTCCTCAGAGGATTCCCGTCTCCAACCTTACACACAAATATTGGAAATGTCAAAAAGTGTTGAAAAGAAAGTGTCTTCGTGTTCCTGATTTCTACTTCTAAAATTTTGTGTTTCGGTTTTTCTGCTTTGACCACATGAGGAGAGCAATAACTGTGGAGCCTTTTTAAAGATCCTACTAATCCCTGCCACCTTATCTTTTTTATTCTCGACTCCTCGTCTCCAAAATCCCACCATATCGGAACAGAGTGATCTCCCACCTTTTTAAATGCCAGCTCCGTGTTGTCAGAAGACAAGCGGGACACCCAGCCTTTACTCTTGTCCTTGGCCTCTTTCAGCAAGTTCTGGATCAGCCCTTCTATGTGTGCGTTGTAGGATGCTTCCTCATCCTCTTCTTCCACTTCCTCATCCACATCTTCCTCCTCCTGGACCTTGCAAAGTTCCTCCAGCGGGGGCACCATCAGCGCAGCCTCCATGTAGGAGTTGCGGGATTGGGTCACCATTTCCTCTGGGATCTGAGCAACAACCAGAAAAGGTGTGCCACAAAAAAACCAACCAGCTCAGGGAGGACAGAACAGAACAGAATTTAAAGAAAAACAGTGAAAAGAGGTGATGATGAAGATAGAAGATATTTGCAGAATTCGGACTATATTTCCTTTCTTCTCTCCCTCTAAAATGAAACGTAAGCGATTTCAAATACTTAATAGACTTTATCCCCAAGGAGAAATGTGTAGGTTGAAATAAAGACACATGCTGTGTTTGGAACATTTACGTATTTATCTTAATGTGAGCTTGTTAGTGTTCTTTGGAATGGGTTGGTTTTATTCTGAAGCAGGTGTTATTTCTACATTTACAGACAAAACTAAAGTGACTGGAATTGATTGTGTAAATTTGAAATCTTTTTTTAAGCTAAAATTTAACTAAACCACTGGCAAAATAACTTTCTTTTACTTCAGAAACCATTGAAAAATTTAAGAACATTTTTACCTTTATGTTCAAACTAAAATTATGAGTTAATTATTCAAGTATTTCTCAATTTTTTCTCTGTTTTTTATCACTTTATCAGTTTCAGCCAAAATTGAGATGGTAGAATACATGTTCCCATGAATACCAGATTAAAATCAGCTTTTCAAGGTAATATTTTAGGAGGCATTAAACAGACTTTTTAAAAAGTCCACATTTCTGTAATAGAAATATTTATTTTTATTAGTAATTTTAATCTTAAATGTGTTTTCATTAGCTGTAAGTGGAAAATCAAGAAAATTAACAGAAACAAAGGCTTAAATGTGTCAATGTAATGTGTTTCACTTAGTGAATTAAGTTACTGAAATACATGAACTTTTCAGTAGTATTCATATTTATTCAATATTAGTGGATTTTTAATTTAATCCATTTAATTTCTTATCACATATTGTTCTGCACACACTCAAAACTCTGCTCTTACACTAAGATGACTTCTGTTGAGTGCCCAAAACTTGCAAGAATATCCCTGCACTCAGATTTAATGCATGTTGCATAAAATCCTGCTTAAATCTTTCACATCACAAGTAGCATGAGAATTTTGCATTAACATCACTGCCTTTTGGGGCATTTCTGTTGTGTTCAAAGCAGTTCCCTTCAGAGAGATCCCAGCACTGAGGGAACGGACTGAGAGAGTTGAGCAAGAGGAACTGCAAGTCAGCTCAAATCTGATGACATAAAGTTTTGAGGGGGAAAGGAGCATGTCAGCAAGAAATACATCTTTTTGTGTGAGTAGGTTTTTTTTTGGGGGGGGGGAGGGGGGGAGTGAATATAAGGAATTTGGTCTTAACATTAAAGTGAATGCTTTTAAATTACAGTGTTTTCTGGCTGGGACTCAGATGGCTAATCTCAAATTGTACAGATTGGTGTTGCGAGTAAGAAATTGTGATCACCCCTTCTTTTAACATATCTGTCAGGGAATGATATATATACATTTTGGCAGAAATTGTGATAAAGAGATAAAAAAGAGAGAAAAACTGAGAAGTGCTTGGATAATATATATATATATATATATATATATATATATATATATATATAATATATTTGGCTCTAGAAAGAATAATGACTCTCAACTTATTCTAATGAATACTGAATAAGAAGCTATAGACAAAAAAACATCTCCCCTTGACCTTCGAGATGAGATGAAAAATACCAAAAGTAAAAAATGAAAAAAAAAAAATCAATTGGAAGAACTTAGATTTGTGCAGTTCTTAAGTAAAATAAAGTACGTATTCTGTTCAGATTAAAATAGCTTATTATTTTTACTTGTAAAATGATATTTAATCTTAAAATGCACTGTAATCAAATCTATTTTCTCCAGATAGCAGTACCAATTCCTTGCAAAAAGTCACTGATGACATAATAATGTGACAATCTTAATAAGTTCAGCTAGCTCATCGCCTTAACTGCAATAAATTAATTTCAGTTCATTAACTGAAATATCAGTCCATGCATTAAAATAAATATCAACTGAGTTTGATTTAGACCTGGAAGAGATGTTGGCACTCTGTGATCATGTGTGCCAGGCCCTGTGTGGCAGCAAGGTTCTCACTCAGGTCTTTCTGATCGGGACGGCCTGTAGCGTACTTCTTCTGGATCGACCTAAAGAAGGCAAGAACCACAGAAAGAACGCGGGGTCACCACCAGGTTTCTTGTTTTCCATTTGAACTCACGGGAGTTCACGCATACCTTGGTGACAGCATGTCGTTCTTCAGGATGCTGAGGTGGAACAGGGATGGGCCCAGACAAACAGCCAGGTTCATCGGCGTCATCTGGTTCTCCTCCACCAAGGAGGTGACGTCCCGCAAGAAGTAGAGCAGAGTCTGCAGAACCTCCCTGTTCTCATCAGGCATCAGCAATATGGCTGCCCTGACGGCCTGCAACCGCTGTTCTTTCGGAACATCTAATTGGAAAAGAAAAAAAAATGAAAATAGGAAAAAGGTAAAACAGATAAATTCCTTATAATAGTGGGCAGCAGTAATCTCCACTTGGGTAAATGTTGGTTTTTGATACTGTTCCAACAATGGATTATTAAGGAGATTAAAATGTTCTCTTTTCTGTCTGATTTTGAAGAATTTGTCCCTTTAAGCCCTCAAATGCATATCTTAGATAATCATAAAGTTATGAATTACTAACTAAAAGATCAGAGATAGTTTGAGCAATGAGAAAATGTCAACTACTTGTCAGCTGTATGTCCATTAATTGGGACAAGATAAGAACTGGTCGGTGATTAGCAAGTCAAACTCTGAAAATATAATATTTATTTGTATTCAAATTAAAGAAATAATAGCATGCACTTTGATATTATCAGAATTATGTTTTGGAAGATTTTTTGGCACTAAGTGGCCTTTATTGAACAGTAATTTGTTATAAAATAGGAAGAGGAGAGAAATGGAAAACATGAAGCAAATGGCCCAAAACCAGGAATCGAACCCATGACAACCGCATCAAGGACAACATCCTGTGTAAATGTCAATGTATATTGGAAAATTTGGAAAAATCTTGTAATTTCTTCATTTTCTGTTTAAATCAAAACAGTAACTTTTGTCAGTGAACTTGCTGCTAATCTGTCTTGTTTCAAAAATCTAATAAATGTTGGTTAAAATAGGACTGGGAAAGTCAGACCTGAAATAAAACCACAACTGGTCAGGAAATTGCCCTGATCAGTAGCTCTTTAATATAAAACAATGCTTCAGTGTTTCATTTAGTTTCAGTGGAGTCACTAATGCAGCACTAGGTATTTTAATAAAAGCATTTTTTTAAACATAGAATGGTTTTTCTCCTCTTAAATTGATTCCCACTGAAGTCTGTGCTCTTCCATTTTTGTGTGGTAATGTTTCTGCAAAGAAAGATGACTAATTTAAGGCTTTGAATGCATCTTTACAAGTGGGGCCAAAAAAAAAAAAAAACTGTCTGTTTGGAACTATAATAAAATTCAACAGACAATTATTTCATTGGCTGGAGTACTTAAGGAAAAAAGTACAAGAGTTTATTAAAGAGAGAAAAACGATCTACTCCCACATTTACTTACACTGGTAAATGTGCAGGAAAGTTTCCCCCAGTTTGCTTGTAAGCAGAGGTTCGGGTAAGTCCCTGAAGAACTGTTTGACCATGTCAGCCACATCATATGCAGATTGGTCGTCGTAGTTTACACAGTCAGGGGACAACTCGCACTGCTGCCTCAAAGCCTGAATCCGGGACTTTACACCAGACTTGCGGAACAATCCCACCTGGAATGGAGACAGTGGGAGAGAGTCTGGAAGGATCAGGGAGCGAATGGTGCCTTGTGTCTGACAGCTTAGGCATGGAGAGAATGAAATGCACACAAGCAGTCCAGTAAAAGCTGTTTACTAACCTGGTCCAGACAGTAAGTCCTGAGGTGGCTGAGGGCCTGTTGTAAACACAGAGGAAGCGGGAACCCACAGCGTTGGACATGAACAATCAGAGGAACGCCAAACACACTCTTCTCTTTGTAGTCTGGCACCTTCATACGCTTCATAAACTTAGGCACGGACCTGCCAGCGACAGACAAACAATTAGGGAAGTGTGTGAGAGAAAAGAGACGTCTATGATTTCATTATCAGCCTGAGCGTGCACACACTGGTCAACAGGGCTTCCCTGTAGGGCACAATAAAAGTGAACAGGACTGGCTGTTTACTGCAGAGGGATGAGTTGTGGGTCGTGGGGAATGGTTGCTGAGTTTTGTAGGCTCAGCCCTTGCCAAACACTTGCACATGGACAAACCCATTGATGTTTTCAATTTTAAGACATACATGAAGGTGTTAATTGTCCATATGGTCCAGCAGCTACAGCAGGGTTGAAAAATATCTAATAAAACTCTCGTGAAGACTGTAAAAAAGAAGGAAGAAGAATCCTTTGAACTTCTTTTCCTTATGTTATGTTGAAACCACACATTTCTATGCATTCTTGTGGGCATTTTAGTTTGCATAACAACAGAAAGCAGAGCATAATTATGAAGTGAAAAGAGAAGGATGCATGGTTTTAAAAATGTTTTACAAATGAAAAGTCTCAAAATTGTGGCCTCCATTTGCATTCAGTCTTATCTCAACACATCCCTTACTTATGTCATTTCTAATGTGAAAAAAATGTAAAAACATTTACAATAATTCATTGGGAGAAAAGATTGTAAAGCATCTAGATGAATAGCATCAAACATAGGTTCATTTGTACAAGATGGTGTGTTCCCTATTTTTTTGTGATTACCTGGGATTAAACTATCTCATTATAATCTACAATATTACACCCAAATTATCTTCTATGTTTGTTAGTCGTATTTGTACATACCATGTCCAGCCATGTTTGTTAGACATGGAGTATTTCTCCATGATGGCGGTGAGGCGGAGCAGAGAAAACTTCTGCAGCAGGCTCAGCTGGCCCGCCGACTGGCTGCTGATCTGCAGTGAAGATGCTGGCTGGTTGAGATGATCAGACGTTCTGAAACTTGGCCATCGGAGACTAAGATGGATTGAAAGATAAAAGATGACGCGAGTCAGGCAATGCAATTCACTCTTGGCTCTTATTACATTAATATGTTGATTGATCAAATAAATACAACAGTTGTGCTGGTTTTAAAAAGCTCAGTCATGTCTTTGGTGGACATCCATTTGGTATGAACCCTAAATGAATCATTTCACCAGTTGGGTTTGGGTCTGTTGCTCTGATTGGGATCATTTGTTTTCACTTACAACTGAAAGTGTGAATGGCATTACGGGGTTATTAACACACATTTATTCAACTGCAGACTCAGAATATTTTGCCAGTGTCTTTTTTTGCTGTGATGACAGAAGACTTTCCTAATACTGCAACACAACATGATCTATGGTAACCTTTGTCTTCTAAAGTGCAACTCAATCAAAAAAACATTTTAGGTGTCATTCTACCAGTAAAGAAACATGGAAGTAAGTGCTAATGTTGGTGATTCTACATTTATAAATAAACAGCCATTAAAGCTGCAATGTGTTCTTGGTACATGCTCATCCAGGAGGAGTGAGTGACTCGATGGAATCTGCTGGTTTCCTTAGACTGAAAACTTTTTAAAGTAATTGGAATAACGAACTGAGCTTAGTGCACCATTATAACTTGAATTAATAAGAATGTGTGCAATTGAATTGAAATTACTTTTTTTGTAAAGTGTCTCAAGACATTTGTTGGGAAATGGTGCTATGTAAATAAACTGAATTTATATGATCTTGCTATTTTTGAAGCTTGTAACAATCATTCGTTATAACAAATGACAACATGCTACTTTTGTTTGCAGATTTTATTCCAAGATGAACTCACTAAGGGAATTCAGCTATTAGACTTATTTACACCATCACATGTTGTGCTTATTTTTTTTAAAAATTACAAATAAAAAGATTTTGTTCAGTCTTATCAAGCCAGCGCTCAAAGTCCTAGTCACATCTGGTGCTCTTCAGGGTTCTGTCCTCAAGCCCATTTTTTCATAATCTAACCCCTTTGGATTGGACATGTATTCCAAAATGACATTTTCATTGCACCCATAAAACTCTTCAGTTTACTCTACTGTTCCTAATGACCATCTGTTTCCCATGCGAGCCAGAGTTTTCAATAAATCCACCCCTTAACGCTGTAATTCCCTTGCATGTGACATTTTTACACTTTCCAGAATTTTCTGATTGTTTCTGTGATTTGTGTCGCCACATTAGAAATAATTGCAAAGATTTTAAAGCACTTCTAAAATATACATATAGGAGAAAAAATAAAAGAAAATAATTTTAAAAAGCAGATAGCTATCTAAACAATTTTATTCTTTAAAGAACTTAAATTTTTGTCACTCGCCACATTGGTAGTACTATAAAGTGACATCAAGTAAGCCATGTAGTAGAAGTCAGAAATACTGCCACCTGCAGGTGAAAGTTTGCAGTCACTAAGAACCAATGTTCTTCACAATTTTTACAGAAAATTTGCAATGCAAAATTACAGTTATACATTACCATGAAGAAATCTGTTAATTTTGCATAAATATCTGCAATCACGGAATCGTAAAAAACTGGAGGGATGTTCAAGCTATTCTTACTACTCTCAAAATCTTTGTTCCTTTTTTGATTATTAAGTTTTGTTTGGCACCTTTTATTGTTTTTGTGGCAGTTTCATTTAGATTATTTTAATTTTGTAAGATGAAAGGTACCTATAAATAAAATTTGTTTTTTCAGAAATCATTTGGAAATCCTTTCAAAGTCCCCAAAAAACACTATTATTACAGCATTACACCATTTCTACATAGATATTTTAAGAACTTTGTACAAGAATGATCATTGCATTTGAAATATACAAAAATAGGATTCTTTAACAACCTAAGAAATAACTTTTACCAATAATTAACTTCAATAATTGAAGTTATGTGGATGATCATGCAGAGCGTCGGCAAGATGTCAGTATTTGCTGTGGTGAGTCCACAGTTCTTATAACCAATAAAAGTTCAAGCCAAACTATAAAAACGAGACCCAAGATGCAATGAACCATAATTATCTTATAAATGTGTGTGCAGCTGCTTACCGAGGTCTTGTGAGCGAGGCCCCAACTCCAGAGTCCCGCCTCTCCCGACTGGTCCCTGTTGAATCGGTGTCATTTAAGGAGACCCCGTCTCTCTCACCTTCGCTGGGGGTGGTCCTGCCCTCCCCTTCCTCCTCCCCCTCCCCTGCTTCCCCCTCTGGCAAAACGCTGCGGCTCCAGTGGTCCACAATCTGCTGCAAGCCACTGACGTGCTGGATGATGTCGTCTAAGTGAGGAAACAGGTTGTCCTCCTTCTCAAAGTCTAGAAGGTCCCCAGTGCTGGCATAAAGGTGGGAGCCCGGCACGTTGTCGTAAACACTCACCCTGCTGCCCCTCGGAGCTCCAGGACAGGCAGGTTTAGATAAAGGTTCGCCCAGGCCATTTTCATTTGGGGAGGTTTGGCTATGTGACTGGGGATTATTGTTCCTGTCACCGGGGGAAGGTGCCAGACTTTCAATGGACAGAGCTTTGGGAAAAGTGCCTGGCTTGTGGTCTTTGGGGATGTGAATGAGGAGGTTTTCATATGAGCGAAACTGGTTTCTGCCAAACTGGCTCTGACCCTCAGTCCTCTTACCCTGAGAAGGCAACTCCATATCCTCCAGGTACATGCTGCTTCTCTTGCTGGCAGTGCGTGGTTTTGTACATGCAGGCTCCTGAACACTCGGCGCTACAGTCTCTTTGCTCGGACTCACATTTAGCGTGATCTGGTCTTTAGGTGTTTTGCTGTCAGAAACAGGGGGATCGTCACCATCTGTTTGATGGTTGTGTTTTGGGCTGTTTTCTAATTGGCTGATGGGAGTACACTGAAGCATCTGAAGCGCATGGGGCTCCTCCCCCTGTAACACCGGCTCACCGATGACCAGCTGCGGCCTCCGATTTGAGCTTTTCCTCCTCGTCGATGGCCCCCAGGTACGCATCAGCTCCATTTTGCGCAGAAACTCTTTGGCTTTACTCTTTCCTCCTTGCCCATGGCGGCTGCTTTTGATGGGAAGGGAGTTATAATGAGGAAGTTCCCTCGGCGGTTGATAGGAAGCAGATAGGGACGCCATGGATATAGAGTCAGGCATGGCGGAGGCCGAGTCCTCGCTGTGGAGTGAGGAGATCTCAGTGATTTCCTGCTCACTCAGGTCCGTCAGTACGCTCTCACTGCTCACTGTGCTGCGCAGACCCTCGCCTTCACCCGTCGGGCTGCTCTCGTTAGCGCTGTCCAATAGAAAGTCCTGCAGACGTGACCAGCGGCGGCTGCTCCACTCAAATGTCCACCTCTTACTGATAGCCAATGGATCATCTTCATCAGAGTCATCACTCTATATAGAAAGACAGAGTAATAGATGAAAAAAATACATCCAAACTAATGCCAAGGGTTCTTTAATGTAACATATTAGGATGTTACTACCAATAAGAAAATGTGTCAGTTTAAAGGATTATAAAAACCATCACCATCAGAATTTCTTAAATAGTTTTTTTTTTTTTTTTCGTAACTGAAAGCAAGAAAATTAGTATAGGAGTTTTTCTGGAAGTGGACCAAACCCACTTCCTCCCTGCTGTGGTGAACAAATTAAAATTGAACTGCAAAGTCATCTGCTTACACAGATTACAACAGAAGTGAGCACAAATGTTATTTGGCTTTAAATTCAAAGAATACAAAATCTCAATTCCTCTCCTAATTTAAAAGAAAATGTTATGATGAAAGACTTTTTTGGCAAAAGTGACCTGGAATAAACCCCTGGGGTTATAAGTCTTGTTCTAGAGTTCTAACAAAAATAAAAAAACTATATTTTCCTTATTTGTAAAAATTTAACACACTACGAAAACATTTTTCTTTGCTAAATAAATCAAGCTCAGTCAGATCGGATAGGCTCTGTGAACAGTAATGTTGTTATGTCTTGCCGTAGATTCTGAATTGGATTTGTTTCTGGACTTTGACTGGGCCATTCTATCACATACATTACACTTTGCACCTTCTCTCCAGACTCATGTTTTTGAGTCCATGTTTTTTACAGGCTTATCCTGCATTTACCTCAATTTAACTTGCTTCCCATTCTGACTAGCTTTCCCATCCATGCTGAAGAAAAATATCCCTGCCCTTATGGTAGAGCTGCCATCATTATGCTTTGCTGTTGAGCACATTCATCAAAATGTTCGATGTTGGCCTTCTTTCATCAGAGCACACCATATTTAAATTCTTACTTATGAAGAATTACGTAAACTATGCATCATTTTTTTTTTCCATTTCACAATTATGTGCAACTTTGCGCTGGACAATTACATAAAATTCAAATTAAGTACAATGTGTTGTGGAATAACAATATATGAAAAAGCTTAAATGATATGAATAAATTGCAAGAAACCATCCAAAATATGTAAATCCCTAGAATTTATCTACCTTGACTGTTATTAGAACAGCTTAGCACAGCTGCATTTTAGTCTGCCTGCATCATTAAATAACTCAGCTCTTTCTGTCAGCATGTCTTTATTGCAGCGCCTGGTGAAAAAGAATAAAAGGAACTGAAAAAACTAAAAGAGAGGGAATATACAAGTATTCTTAAGGATCAGCAGCTGACTAAGAATCAGAGGAAACACACTCGCTGCTATAATCAGTCCACAATAGAAGCACCCCTAATCAGAGCTGCAGTGGTTGTCTCCTTCTAAAAGGATGCTTTTGCAATCGAGCCCCAAAATGTGGCGCACACTTGATCAGCAATTAGGATACAAGGAGTCCTGGTGACAGCTCTGACAGGATGAAGATTAACCACTCCAAGCTGCAATCAAAAGGGAGCTTTTTTTTTTCCTCTCTCTTCCTCATCAAGTTAACCTTTACTTAAAAAAAAAACAGGTCAAACCTTTTCTACCAAAAAAATCATTTAAATGTTCAGATAAAAAAGGTTAAACTCTTGAGAGGATTGATACGATAAACCATTTAATATATTAGGATATTATTGAAAAGTTTATTTCAATAACTAAATCTACAGAATGTTTACACAGATGGATGCTTTCAAGTCTTTAATCTGTTATTTATGATGGTTTTCAGACAATTAATTAAAACATTTCGAAACAGAAATTTAGGCTTTGTGAAAAGTTTGTTTAATGTCTCATTTTCAAAACTTACTTTAAATCTGACAAATGGGACTCATCTGAACGCTGAATGAGTGTTGTACTGCAAAGTTTTGCTTACCTTCCTCTTGGGGTGGCTTACATCGAGTTTCATGGATGCACACTTGTTCAAAGTATTGAGGCGTCTGCAACAAACACACAAAGACAGAGTCACTAAAGCACAACCTATTGTTGCTGTATGATGGTGCCCTTCTTCTCTGTAATAACGCTCACTTTCACTCTATGATATTGCTTTTTACTTCCACTTTCCTATTTTCCCCCAGAGTCTGATCAGTCACTGGCAGACAAGCCTTTTCATTTTTCTCTTTAATCTTTTCTGACCGCACACAGAATCTCTCGTTGCACTGTCTAACAATGTCTTCACCACAGAAGTTTTACTTTGACTCTTCTCCCCCTCCAACTATGACTAAAGCAGAGAGCGTCACAATTATTTGTGACATGCATTCATATTTTCATATTTTCTGAATTTAGTTACAGTACTACAACCATAAACTTTAATTCATCTTCAGGGGATTTTATGTTATGGGCAACACACAATAATGCACGGCTTTAAATAAATTAAAAAAAAAAAGTGAAAAGTATGGTGCATGTATATTCAGCTCTCTTTATTCTAATACCCCTAAGTTAAATGGTTTGTATTTGCATAGCATTTTATCAAGTCCAGAGGACTCCAAAGCACCTGACACTACATTCACAGATCAGTTTGCAGGATGCTTATCTTGTGAAGATAAAACAAAGGAATGCCAGTCATGTTTAAAATTTGCACCACGCTGTGTCTGGGACACAGCGAACTTGTGTTAGAAGGTCAGATTAAACCAAAATGTTGTAGACAAAAAAAATGTGGATAATAAACACTGTACACCACAGTGAAAACACAGTCCCTTTTAAGCTGTGAGTTGATCATATGTTGGATGGACAGTGGCAAAAGTTGACCTTTCAGCAATACAATGACGCAAAGCGTAAAGCAAGTGTCAGAATTACTTAGTCAAAGTATGCACCTAAAATCAAATCAAAATTTGTGGCAAGTCTTGAAATGTGAGGTTCACAGACAGTCCATCCAGTCTGCCGCTTTTAGATTTAGTAGCTAAAGGCAACTTCATGTCAAACATTTCACATTTTTAATTGTAAAACAAGCTGAAAACCATGTATTATTCTCTTTCCACTTTGTGTTTATCTATCATCAAATCCCAACAAAACACATTTAAGTTCTATTCTGTAATCCAAACAGGATTAAAGGGTGAACTTGTACAAGTTACTGCAGCTCAAGAGAGATGAAGACGCAGGAGCACAAAAATAAGTTAACATTTTGTAAATATGCAGGAGAATTTTTTAAGGAATAGGGTAATGTGACTGGCAAGATTACAAGATTCAGAAAATGGTTAAAATCCATTTACAGCAGAACTCTGGGATTCCCTCTCTCAGTTCCCTATTACCATCACCCAGACACACCTCTCTGTATTTTACCCCCTGAGGGGTCTCTTCTCTTTGAATGGGAGATCAGAGCATGGCAGACAGAAGGGGAGGTGGCCAGATCAAAGCCTGGAAGTCCCAGAGGGAGACGTGGATGGGGACTTCATTAAGGGTAAGGGTCAGGCAACTAATGAGTCCACAAGGAAAAGTCAGCACACCAGACAGGATGACCAGAGAAGGAATTTACAGAGAAAAATCCTCCTTACCGACACAGAGGTTCGACTAGATCTCGGTCCAAAAAGTCATGGTCCCTTTTCACTGCGGAAATATTGATCGGAAACTGGGAATCTGGGAAATAAGAGACAGAGACGGCAACAAAGAGAAGAGGGGACAAGACTTGTTAGATAATGACTGACACATGACAGGACATAGCAGCGTTCTCTATGGAGCTTGTGAAGTCTGCCGCAGCTGCCGTCTCCACAGTTAGCACTTGTCATCCGCGTCTGAAGTGTAATAAAACTTAAACGTAACACAATGCCAAACTGATTCAAGTTGTTTACTGAGGGCACTTATCTGCGGCATCAATAACCTGACTTTCTAGAAATCCCTCAACCTTTCTCAGAGAACCAGTGTGTGCTTGCCAGTCTTTCTAAAGAAGGATTATTGTGTTTTAAAATCTTCTTCTTTAACTATCGAAGCCAGTTTGTGTTTGTGCTTCAACCCCGAAAGACCAAATGATCATCACATGAGCAAACGCCTTCAGGTTTGCTAGATAAGGCACAGAGACACAAGAAGGCACAATGAAAAGAAAAGAAATTCAAATAGCATAAAAGTAAGACATGGCAGGTTTAGATAGAGCGGGTTGGGGGGCGGAGGGGTCCGAAAGGAAATGGTCGGTGATCTTAAGAACGGGGGAGAAATGAGGGAGAAAGAGGAGCTATGAGAGTCCCAGCAGTGATAACAAGGCCTTTCCCATGACCCCTCCCTCTGGAGAGGAACCGAAGCCTTGAAATAGAATGCATTGGCACAGAAGACGGGTATGTAAAGTTTGAGGGAAGGCAGGAAGAGAGAAAGAGTCACAGATGATGGAAAAATAAGACAGAAAGAGAAAATAACTGAGGAAGTAGGAAAAGTCAAAGAAGATAACTAGAGGAAGAAGTTTGTGTGTTAAATACAGCAGCTGGATTGTGTTACCTTCATAGAGTTGGGCATACTGTGGAAACCCGGCTGCTCGGAGCCAATCGCAAGCCTCCTTTGCTTCAATCTCTATAAGACACAAAAACATTGGAAAGATAAATCATACATAGTCACAATGATATTTTTTCATTCCAGATTTTGTCACATTGATACCACAATTCTACCTTCATTTTATAGAGATTTTAAGCTGTAAAAATCTTTATGTGTCAGGAAATGGACACATGGTCTAAGACTTTTTTTTTAATTAAATGAAAAGTGTTGCGTGCACCGACTTTAATCCCCCTGAGTTGATACACAGGGAAGCTGAAAACACCTTCCGCTTCCATTGCAGTTGCAGATGTTTTTGGTGTTGCCTCTACCAGCTTTTTACATCTAGAGAGGGCTACTTTTGCTGTTTCTACTAAGTCAAGATCAGTTTTGAATACTTGTGATAGTTCATCATTCAAATGTAAATCTGGATTAACTGTCCGTGTCTGCATGTTTGGGCTCAATGTCCTGCTAAAAGGTAAACCTTTTGAAGCTTTTCTTCCAGCATTGCCATGTATTTAACTCCATCAGCCTTCCCACCAATTCTGACCATCTTCCGATTGAAGAAAACCATGATACTACCACCACCATGCTTCACAGTGCGGCTGGTCTGTTCACACTGATTCGCAGTGTTAGAATTCACACAGCATTTTACAAATTAGTCATAAGGTTATTGAGTGAGTTTTTGATCTATTCTGACCAGAACACCATTTTTGGTATACTTGAGAAAAAAAAAACTATCCATGTAAAAAGGCTGTTTGCTAATTGTGTGACTTCTAAGAGCAGCTGGTTGGAGAACATGTGAAAAAGTTCAAGGGATGTGGATGCTTTTACAAGACGCTGTATGACTAAACAGACATAAATCAAGTCAAAGACATTGCACTGTTCTTATGCGTGATATCCCTCTTGGAAATGATGCTTTTGCTTAAGGAAAGAACATTTTTGAGATGCATTTTTCCTTTGGGAATTTAATGGAATGATAAGACTGGGAAAACTGGAAATCTCCCAGTAAAGAGACAAGCATTTTCTTAAGTGTGCTGCTAGCACAATTTCACTTTATCAGTGTAACCCATCCATATTTCGTTTAGCTGTTTTCGGATAAATGTACCAGGCATAACACATTGCACCAAAGCAGGCACATGGTGCCTAGCAAGCATGAAACATTTTTACAGGCTTTTGTTTTACTGCTTTTTCCGCTGGCATATGTATCACACACGCTGCTTAACTGGCAACAGAGAAATCTGGGTGTGTTTATATACGTTTTCTTTATGAGCAGACACTTATTAAAGCCGCTCCTTGTGCTTACAAAGAAAATCTAAAGAAGCTTGTGCCAAGAATCAAACGCATTTCCAACAGCAGGCATAGTTTGTAAGTATGGTTTAGCACCTTAATGCATGGCATTGGAAAGAATATGAGTGTGAATGAGTACCAGTACAGACTGTAGAGGCTGTCTCGGGACAAATATGCGCAGAAAATAAAGCTTGTACTTGTCCAAACAAAGTTGACTACTATAAATAACTTGTTTCTCCGTCAAGTTCCCACTCATTCGTTCTCACTTTTCTCACTCACTAGAGTTTGGAGGTGTTGGCACGGTTCAGCGGGGCAGTAAAAAGGCTCCGTCCCTCACCATCAGAGATGAGAACGGTCAGAGGAAATGACACTGTCGCCACAATCTAGCAATTACATCCCTCTTCCAACATTCTTTGAATAACTCTTCTCTCTAAATCACATATGAAGTAAAGGTGGGGACAAAATATTGCAGCTTATTGTAGCTCTCTGAAAGTAGAGAGAAATCAAATATCCAATGAGGCACAACTCTATTTTCCAATAAAAACTTACTGGAAGCCCTCATCGTGAGGTGAACGACAAGCTCCTATGTTTCCTTTGTTCCAGCTGAAGTTTCATCTCCATACGAGGGAACATCTATCTGCTGTGTTGTGCAGCTTTCCATCAAACAGCAGCGACAGTTCAGTGTTTTCTTCCTCCTTGGCTCTGCAACCCATGTGTTTACGGTTCTGCCTCCGTTTCTTCAGCCTGCTCCATGCAGGTTTTCCCTTCCCTCTAATTTTCTACTCAACCTCCTCTCTCAAACTTTCATCTCTGTTGGACGGCACATTCAATATCTCTCTATTTATACGTTTCTCCGACCTCTTCCTTCTTCTTTTCACTTACGTTTCAGAAATAATTCCTGCAAGTCATCTAGCTCTTGTTTCCTTCCCTTTCATTCACATAGCGAAAACTCCTTTTTTAACCTTTACTTTCACGATCAAACTATATTTTTCCTTCTTGTGGTACCTCTCATCTCTTCTCCCTCACATCTTTCTGTAAAACAAAAACACTCGCTGGCACACTTTCTTTCATCCATCGACAGGAACATCCCAATCCCCTCTCTCCCACTCAAGCTCCTCGAAGAAAGTCCACATCTTCTTTGCATCCATGCAGGAAATGACTCATTTCAGCTGACGTTCACATAGGCTGCACCCCTCGAGGTTGCAGACCATCAGTTACGGGATGCTAATTTCACATGTCAGCCAAGCCCACCAGCATACAGGACAGCAAGGAGACTTTGACCTTGGTTTCTTTGTGATGCTTCACCCACACAATGGGAGCGAGAATCCACTCAGACACATCCAGCAGACTGGACTCATTGGCGTGTAAATCTAAAACAGCACAGATGCTGCCCTCAGTGAGTCAGAGAATGCAAAAACAGGGATGAGACAGTTGGACGGCAGGGGTGGGGAGCTGAGATGAATGGATCTTGTGAGAAAACTGCAGGGACGACAACATGCCACACCGGTTGTTTATTTACTCACTGTCAGATTGGTTGAAAAGTTAAAATCGGGTTAAAAATCGCAAATCTACCCTGAGAGGCAAAACAAGGACAGATGGCAGGAAATCCTCAACCTTTTTCCACAGAACTTTAAAAAGATTCAAAAACTCATAAACTCGTGGCACCAAATCCTTGAGATGGGTTACAGATGTGTGAGCAATTTTTGCTCAAGTTTTTTTTTTTTTTGTAACCCACAAAAAAATTAAAAACAATCTTTTTTGAAGTTTTACATTTATGACTTGTCACAAGCAGGCTAAACAAAGTCAGTGACTCATACTGCTTATTATTCGCTAATATTGTTGACAAAAGTTACTTTGGAAATACTCACAGCATGCATCATTAATCAAAGTTTTCAGATAAAACTGCATTTATCATAAAAATTTCATTAATCTCACGGTAATGAAATCTTTATGAAAAAGTAAATAAAAACACATTCAAACATTGATACATAGGCCAACAGGCAACTTGTGGTTAAGTGCCTTGCCACTTGATCCTTTTGTCAAAGGGTTTAAGAAAAATAGTTCTACCATATTTAGTTTTTGTAGCACAGAGAATACATAATACATAAAACTCTAAATTTGAGTCAGAACTTTTTTACATCTTCATTTTGTGTCCCAGTATGAGTTTATGCCTAGCAAAGCTCCAGGTTACAAGCCTACTGCAAATAATTCCGAATTTCGCTCAGTACAGAGTTGCACCTAAAATATCAAAAGAAAAAAAAAACAATAATGGGCATGTTATCATCAAGCTAATATTTAAAAAGCACACAATTACATGCTTCATCACAGTGTTGGAGCATGTGTAATTGCCAACCGTGCTTTCACGTTCATGCAGAAAAACAAAAGCCTAGGCTCCCGTCAGTGTGGGAACAAAGCCCCACTATTCATCTGTGCAGAATTTAATCAAGAGATTAATTAGTACACAAACATGTTTGGAGTTGGCTGTAAAACACAACAGTGCACACAGGCAGACGGAGCTAATCCGAGGCGCCCGCAGTGTGTGTCCCCCAAATCTTTTTCATGTCACTGCAGTCCTGCTGAGGCCCAGAGCCACAGCCAACAGGGCTGTTGGATGGTATGCGAATGAGGCGCTGTGAGTTTGTGTGTAAGCATATCAATTTGGGCATCCAAGTGTGGAGCAAAGAGGGTGAAAGATAATTCCTTTCATGACCAGGGTGCCAGTGGTGTTACATAAAAGACTGAACAAAAGCAACCCAATGTCCTCATAAGCATAGTCATTTCCTCTGCTTTTTATTTCCTGCCTTTTTTCACTGTCACTAACGGTTTTCTTCTGTGATATGCCCACCTACTATTGGGTCTCTAGGTCCCAGGGACTCTAAAGAGGCTTGGATGACATCATTTCCTGCTTTTAATTTCCCATGAATCCAGAGCAACATGTGAACTAAGAACAGTGGTTGCAGCAGGAAGTTCCTGAGCTAAGCTGACATTTTCAGAGCACAGCAAACTGCAAAATATTTTGCTACTGTTTACACAATGATATGTGCATTGTTCGATATGCTTATTAGGACGAGCCCTTGTAGTAACACCGTCACCAGTAACTGACAAAGGAGGCTTAACAGTCAAAGACTACAAACACAGGCAGTCTGGAGAGCAGCCATATTCCCACATAAGCTAAAGCACTTAGTCCTTCACGTCGAAAGGTCAAAAAAAAGGGATTGAAGAAGACAGTGGAGGAGTGATGAGACAGGAAGAGAGGGATGGGGGAGGGATAAAATGGAATATGCCTGTCCTGTCTCGTGAGCTGCATCTGCTATGATGTCTTGCCCTCAGGAATGCACTGTAAAACAGAATCAATACTGGCATGAAATCAGTGCAGGTTCAGACATAGAGCCTCCTCATACACAGGGAGGACAAAAACACAGACACACACAACAACATCAGAGAAATGGTAAAACATTTATGATCAAGTGGTTGCCCAAAATAATTAAGAGAACCGGCGCTACAGTGGTTGTTCACTGCCTGAATTTAAACGAGAGCACAAAAGAAAAGGCGACTGAAGGTCATCAGGCTCGGTGGTTGGTGATGCAACCTTTTGTCCAGCAGAGGGTGTCAAAGAAAGGTGTTCCAGCATTGTATTCATATTCAGTCTAACTATCCGTGGCCTCAGGGCAGGGTTGGATAAAAAGATTTGTTTCTACCTGTCGCATCTTGTGCGTCTATTCAATCCCCGATTGAACTTTGGCTGCACAGAA